GACTTGCTGTGGGGCCTGGCTTGGAGTAGGGTGAGTGTTAGTTAGCTGAGGACAAGGTATGCATGTGTGTATAAGTGAATGTGTGCATGAGTGACCAAGATCTTCTAAGAGCCTGTGTTCCAGGAGGCGCTCTGTGCTGATGGGAGGGTGGCCTGTGACCAAGGCAGGGAGGCATACTTGACGGGTTGTGACGTTGGCACTATCTGGTCTGTAGTCTCCCAGTGTAAGTGCCACAGGAATACGGAGGGAGGTGGTACAGGGAAGCTATCCAGCCTGGGCCCCTAACAGCCACCTACCTTAGCCTAGGGAGAAAAACATTAATTTTGAGGGTGCAATAGAACCGAGCCAGGCCAAGGGGGAAAAGACTGTGGGACATAACTGGTATATTCTGAAGTCCCCCCAAACCTAAACGTACACAGGCATACATCCATGATTTCTACCAGCCCACCCTCAGTTCTCATTCAAGAGCCTAAAGCTGATGTTTTGGCTCACCTTCCCCCCAGTGCCACCCCTATTCAGAGGCAAGCACAGCCCAGGTGTCAGCACATGGCACAGCTGGCCCCAGGAACAGAGCATCTGGAAAGATGGATGAACGAAGTCCAAGGACGGAGGAGCCTGGGGCTGCCCTGTAGCCTGGGCAGAGAACGCAAAGTCTTTGCTGGTACAGTGGAGGGGCTCCTGGGTGGTCCCCAGATCTCCCAGTGACACTGGACCATAGAGGCTATCCCCAACTGCAAAGCAGCAGAGGCAGCATACTGGTAAAGGTGATGGTGTTTTCAAGAGAAGTTAGGACAAGGGCAGGTTGGTAATCACTGACGGATGGTGTGGCTAGTGCCTCCTCTTACTCTGACCCTGGGGCCCCACTGCTGCAGGAAGACTTTAGTCAGGCTCAGGGACCCAGAGTCTTGGAGAGGAGGATAGGACCGAAAAGGGAAAGGTTCCCTGATGATTCTGTGATGGTTCCTACAGCCCTTGGCTCTTGGGCCATGTCCAGAGGGTGTGTGTATATACTTCCTTCTATTCGTTTTGTACCTCCCATCCATACTCCTTCTGGTCTAGCTTTCAAAGGGGGCCCCAGCAGTGTCTGCTCTGCCCTGGAGGCCCAACCCCAGCCTGGTTCTGGGTCACAGGCTGTCTGCACCCTGCAACATGGCTCAGATTGTCCCTGCAGCTGTTCCTCTTCCTCTACACCCAGTTCCCTGGAGGGTCTGGAGAGAGGAGGGTGTCCCAGTACTTTCACGTGTGAGACCTTCAGACCCTCCCACCACACACAGAAAACACAGACTTAGGCCCGTAGCAGGTGCGGGTCCAGGTGAAATAAGAACATGTGCCGAGTCCCAGAGGCCTGCGGGTCAAGCTTCTCTAAGCCCAGGCATTCAAGTAGCGGAATCCTGCACCCTCCCAGCTGTCCCCGACGGCTGCTGCAGTCCAGGTCTCTGAGGACTCCGGGAGTTCCGGGGCCTCTGGGCCCGGATACTGTCCTTGGACAGAGCCTCTGACCGCCGCCCTCGGCTCCTGAGCCCCGCTCCCATGCCGCGCTCCGCCAGCCCAGCCCAGCCCAGCCCTCCTCACCTGCTCTCCTGGCTCTGCCGCTTCAGCCACCGCTGCACCGCAGGCACCAAGCAGGACTGGGGGCGGGGGTGTGAGCCGGAAGGGACTGGGGCGCGTCAGCAGCGCGGGGGTGGGGGCTGCCGCCCCGGTCTTTGGTGGAGCCTCGGACGTCTCCAGGTCCCCGCTGCCACCCGACTGGTACAAGCGAGCTGGCCGCGCCTCCCTTCTTCTTCCTCTTGTTCCTCCTCCCTCCCCCCCCCCTTTCCTCCCTCTCCCAGCCCCTCCCCTGTCTCTTTTTTTCCCAGTCCTTGGTCCCCACCACCTCCCGCCCCTACCCCTCCTGCGATCCCACCTCCTGGTCCCACGGAACCGTGTTGGACGGCTCCTGGACAAGCTAGGGCACAGGCAGCAAACCCAGGCCCGAGAAGGGGCCGCAGGACATTGCCCCGCCCATACCCACAGACCCCAGCCCAGCCTTCCCCGGTCCCTGCGCTGCTCCAGCCTAGTATTCCCTGCCGCAGCTGCTAGCACAGAACCATGGAGAGGTCCAGCTCTGAGGA